TGTTGCGCGACTCGGAAGCGTGTGGATATGCAGCGAGGCATAGAGAGATGCCGAACAAGAGAGAAGAGCAACGAGAGGGAACGAGACCGCGACAGACCTCCCACTTGCTCTTCGCGAGTGGCGGCGCGTGTCAACCTTGCCTTGTCCTTGAAATCACGCGACCGCGACCGTACAACGAGCCAAGTCGAAGCGGCGCGCCAGCGAACGATCGTGCGGTTCTAGGAATCAGCTGATTGGCCGACAAAACGGGAATTCCTAGAGGCTTTTTGAGGTGCAATCGGATTCTCGCCGTCCTCCATGGACGGACAGTAATTAGCATAGCGATTGCCGTGACTAAATGATTTTCTTTTTTCGCCGTCTCTGAACTCTATCCTGAATCATCTTCCGATCTTTTTTCTATGCACGTACATTGAGCCGGGCCCCGGAGGCAAGAAATCGACCCTAGGCTGCAATATCAGACGAGAAAACTTTATTTTACGAATGCTTTAATGCAGTTTGTCACACATCATCCATGGGTGACAAGATTTTCCCAATATGGATCTAAAACAATTCATTCTGAGATTGAAATTGAAATGTTAAGTAAATAAATTTGAATGGGACGAGGTTTAGCGAGGTTATCAAAATAAGTACCGAAGGTAAATTTTAAGGTAGACAGTTTACAATTGTCTAAAATGGAAGTGTTGTTCTCCTAAAAAATTGTATGGTTTTGGTGTGGAAGTCAACGTGTTATGTGGATTGTTGGGATTACTGTGACCCTCTGCAAGTTTAATTGTTTGAAAATTTATGCAATCCTTCATTAATTCATTATTTTTTAAATGCTTTAAAAAAAAGTTGATTTCCATTTACCAACTTGATAAAAATCAACATTAAGTAAAACAATTCAGTTGAGATTAAGAGTCTACTTAAGGGTTGAGGGTGTTCGACATAATTCACTGGAAAAATTTATTTATTCAAATTTTCATATACATAGATACATTCTGTAACCTTAGAACTGAAACACAATTGTATTAATTCACCAGTAGCATCCAGTAGGGTCCAGTCACCAGTAGCATCCATTATTTTATATCCTTTTTGTTAGTGCAATTGAAAGTATATTCCCAATATACACAGGAAAAATTTGACCACGTAATATTATAAAGTTGGGGTATTTTAACATGATTTTTGCACTTTTTGGTCCAACTTTGAAACAACAAGACTACAATAGGACCTCCAATTTTTTGCGTGTGGGGATTAGTCCAGTGGAACCCCGGTTATTGCAGAAACTCGAGGCTGAAAGTTCCTACAATTATCGAGGTTCAGTAAACTCGTGACTCAGAGTTTAATACAAATATTTGAATAATTTTTTGTACAAGCGGTATTAGTCAAATATTTATGTCAAATCATCTGGCACAGTTAATTGTGTTATGGAGTTGCGTCGCAGAGTGACGTGCGTAAGTAAATCGTCGTTCCTCCATCATCCTACTCTCCTACGTCACTGCCGGCCATTTTGTCCAGGTTGTTAGCAACTCTGCTTCAACTTTACTTGTTGCTTACAATAATCGAGGTTTTGCTGTATACGAAGTGATCTTTAAACCGGTATCAATATATAATTCTTTTAATTATATTTACATGTGAACCATATTTTCTTACTTTTTGCTTACTTAAATAATTACGATTTCGTTCAAATTGCCCGGTCTTGGACAACGAGGGCTGCAAAAGGTATTTGGAGCCTCTTCGTAGGAAATGGTATAAACATTTCTGGCGTAGTTTCAACAATAAATTATTTATCTTTTACTTGTTGTTCGAAACTTTTATCCCGATAAGAATGTTCTCCATCTTTGATTGAAGGTAACTTCAGCTCTCATGTAAAGATTACATAATATACGTACTGACTTCTAGTAACTGAGTGTTCACGATTGTAGGAACGAGTCCACTCTTGCGTATTTTTATTGATAAGATACAGATTGTTTGTCTTCGGATAAACTTTTTGTACAATAACAACTGTGCCTTAATAACCAGTATCGTTCCTTCTCCCGGGAGAAAGAACGTAATTACTTCCGTATTGTGTAACGGAACTTATTATTTATTGCATTTATCGCAACCTGAATTATCCATGCAAGTATTATCTTTTTACGTGAACCGTGATCGTTTCTTTCTTCTTTCGGGTAAATATTTCTAATTACCAACGATCAATTTTAATACACCGAACGAAGGATCTAAGCAATATTTATGTTCGACACAAGCACGCGCATACATACACTGTCTTATTATATTCGAACGTTGTCCGCTATGCTAGGATCACGGTTATTATTTTTTTCGCCTTGACGAACGATGTTTTTGATGATCACGACGCGAGGGAAACGTGCCCGGAATGAACGCTCCAAATTTTCGGAGCAATCTAGCGGAGGGACGGGTCCGTTTGGCGGTGAACAAAAGATCGTAGAGCTTGGGGACAAAAAACACGGTTCTTCCAAGGAAAGAGCAACGTTTTTTCGTTGTGGCGTATGGAGATTCGCAGATAATGACGCGCGTCGCGAAAGACCCCGCGATTTAATTAAATTACCTACTAAATTATGCATCTCGATTATCATCCTAATGACCGTTAGAGCCGTTCGGGGCCGAGGCTAATAAATAAAGAACGACCGGTTGGCCTGGGGACGGCGGGGCAATTATGGGCGCATTTCGACACGAAGAAACGTCCGTGTGGAATTGTCGTTATGGAAATCGTGAGCGTGAGGTTAGAGAGAAGAATCCGGCCAGACCTCGGCAGTCTCTCGTAAGACCCGTTCCGTCGGGGGATTTTACGTAACAAAAGATAACCAACTCGCCCGTCGCAGATAACTAGGAACTCTAACTCCTGGTGGCACTTATGCAACGGCACGGCAGCGTACGTAAAATCCGAGGTCTCGTGCCCGCGGACAGATAAACGCGAAAGGTCATAGAATCGTGGCAGGGATCAATTAAATTCGTATGCGATAAATTACGTGTCATCTCGGTTCATAGTCGTCTATTTCCTGGAAGGTGAACCGTGCCTGTAACTTTTATTTAGTACGACCCGAGCGCAGGGGGTCCCCGATTAGACGCGATAAGGTGACGGCGCGACTTGTTCCGCGTGTTTCGTGCGTGGCATCAGTCCAGAGACGCAGATTTAAATGGAGAGCTCGCAAATAGGCTCCAAACTTCTGACTTTCAACCGCCTACACTGAAAAATATTTTTTAAAAATATTCTACCCGTTGAAGGACACGTCTGTTGACGCAATAAAATTTCTACTTGCAATTAGTGGACTTTTTTAACCTCGAATCCAAAACAATTGGATGTTTAAGACCATTGAGTGGTTCTTCACGTATTATCCGACTAACCCCTCTATTTCTTTTGTTGCGTTACGTAAATCTTCGGACTCATGTCTGTCGTTCTGTCTGTCCGTAAATAAAGGTACGTAACAGAGACGCGAGCTGACGTGGCGAAAAAGCAGGAGATTCCACAATAATTACGCTGCAGTTGTTAATGGGTTAATGAACATGTCTCATCTTTCTGATACTAGACTGTTGCGATTAGTAGTTTCCATCGTGCATCGAAAAATAGTAGCTTTTCTAAAATAAAAGTAGATAATAACAACGAAGAATTCCAATTTGAGAAAACACGAAACAACGAGGGTAGATCATCGTCGATGTTCACACGGAAACTATAACGTTTAAACGATTAGAGTTTCGCCAAAAAGGTTACACACACCTTTTCAGAGAAATTGATACGCGCTCAACTTTAGTGGAAACAGCGTAACGCAATTTGCTTTCGATCGACTATGACGCACGTTCTTAGCAATTCTATGAAGCTTCGACACAATCCGTGCCCCGATCGGAGATGCAAATAATCGAAAAATTCTCAGATATTTCGACCTATCGTAATAATTTTCCAAATGGGGAAACACGCGGGCAGTCACGCTGGAAAGTTACTTATGAAAGAAAGACAATGGTGACGATTAGCTATCGTGAGAAGTAAAGGAAAACAGTCTAGAGATTAGATTTTCATGGCCCCCTGATCGAAAATTGTTCGCTCTGTCGTTGAAACGAATCGTGAAGTCGTCACGAGCAGGGGGAAACAATAGGAAATTTAGCAATGTTGTTGTTGTCTGTTTTATATTGTTACTAAACTAGAAAAAGGGTACGAAAGGGAGGAATGGACGATAGAGTAATGAGAGAAAATGTAAACAAAACTAAGTAAGAAATGGAAAACGTGGTGTGAAAGGGCTGAATGTAAAACACTTACGCACCCTAATAAGGAGAAACTGAAAACTGAATCGTGAACTCCACCTCGCGAGAACAAGGGCTCGAGGACGCAAGGGCCCCCTACAGTGTTCGAGGACCCGCCGCCAGGCGGCAGCAGATTCTGGTGATTCGGGCGAGTGGCCCAGGTTGTTGGGGGGATGGATTTTGGGCCCCTTCCTCGGAATCACGACCAGGAAAGGAGACCATAGACCGGTTTGGCTCTCTGGCTAACCTCGGGGGTCTTCGTTCAGATGGCAGCACTCTGGCGGAGATATCTTTACGCTCTTTTGCTCAGTCCGGGTCCAGAGATGCAGCAGCGCGGATGTTAGAAGCAGGCCCCGTTGAAATGATTCAAGAATACCCTCGTAGAACTCAGAATTTCCGTCTCTAAAAGTACCTTTCGCTTTTTTGAAATTATCTCCGTCCGATAGAATTTTAGATCAACGGACGAAGAACGTAAAAAAGGATAGAAATTCTTAGTTTCTTTTTTTAAACGTGTTTCACGATAGGAATAAAAATGTAACGCTGGCGCGATCGACTTACGCTCGAGTCGTATAACTTTTATAGAGAGGGCAAGGTAAGGTAAACTGAATAATTCATTCGCGGAATTGGAAAGCAGATCGTCGAGGGAAATTTATGGGAAACGGAATCGTGGAAAACAGGGTTATCCGGGCATAAATTGAATAACGACACAAGGCGTTTAAGGTTTAAGAAAGAGATCAATATTTATTTGATGCTCTTGCAATAATAAGCGTCGATCGTTTCTATTTCTCACAATAGAGAGGAAATATAAATTTAATTTCTCAGCACTCATATAAATATAAATAGGACAGTTGTTCGCATATTCTCGCAGGCTTCACGCATACACGCACGCACGCACGGTACTTAACTAAAGCTAAAAACTAAAATTCGCGTTAATTACAAAAACGTTCCTCGTACTTGCAACGATATATAACACTCGCTTGGCGTTTTTTTTTACGGTACAAGAAACAGAATGGAAGACCTCGGTGATTCTTGTTGCGTAAGGCACTTAAAATACGATATCCTTCTAACGTATGTACAGATGAAGGCGAAAGGAAGAAAGAATGCGAAAAAACTATACACGGTAGGGGGACAGTAAACGCGCGAGAAACGACGAAAACGCGAACGAAGAGAAAATCAAACGTCCACGAGGCGAAAAAGGATTTTTCTACATTCTTCCGGCACGATCGAACCGACTCAACGATAATAGGTTATTTACAAGGCACTGTATAAGGCACTGCCTCATAGGCTACTGGCCGACTGTACGCACTCGGGAATTGAACTCGCGATTCTCAGGATCTCCCAAACTCGCAGGACACCCTCTCGTCTCTCGACCCGACAAATCCTCGATCCTAAAATCGAATACGTAAGGAACAATATCCGTGTTCCGCGGGATCTCTCGCGGGGCGCTGAACGACAAACCGATCCACGTGTCTTCATTCAGAACATTTACATACGTCTGTATATACATATACATATATATATATATGTATCACTCGAGACTGTCTTTGTCACGCACGACAAAACGATTTTTTTCTTTACCACGGTCTCCACGGTTTGTCTTCGATCTCCGGCATGACGCTCTTCCTCATCACCAAGGCGAGAGGTTTCTGAAGAGGTGGACTGTAGACGCGGGGGTCGAACTCCGGGTCGCTGGTGTAACCGTTCGCCGGCGACGTCGCGACATCCCTGTGGCTGTTGGCCGTGTTGAAGGCGGCTTGTTGCTCGCGGAAGGCCGCTGGAGGTGCCTCGAACGCGATGGGACTCGCCGCCGAGGTGGACGTCGAGCTGGCCGAGGAGGTAGACGAGGACGCGGACGCCGTGCTGGCCGTTCTCTGAGGAATCGGGATCAGAGTAGGCAGAGGCGACGTAGGCGCCGGAGACGAGGCCGGTGACGTGACGGGGGTAGCCTTTGCTCCGGCTGGAAGGACCAGGGCGATGTCTCCGTTGGGCAGCCTGGTGGGTACCAGTTGCAGACCGGTACCGTTCGCGTTCGTGAAGAAGATCCCGTTGGACTGTTGGACCTGGATCCTCGGCGTGGCGTCCACTTGCGGGAGTATGTGTACTTGGAGCTGCGTCGTCGGTGGCGCCGGTTGGACAGGCTGCTGGTTCGCGGTTTGCGCGTTGGTGTTGCTCGCTTCGACCGGTCCCAGGCAGGAGGCCAAGTGGGCCATCAAACGTCTCTTCACCGACGCGTCCAGACCGGGAAACCTGCCAACCTCTCCGGCGCATTCCGTGAAACCAGCCCGGAATTTGTTCAGGACATTCGGATCTGTCGCTGCGGCCAGAGCAACCTGTTGCCGCTGGAGCGTCTCCAGGTGCTTAACCGTCATCTCCAGGATGTCCGCCTTCTCGAGCTTCGAGTGTCTCGCCGGCTGTAACCAAAGAAAAAAATCGTTCGATTACATAAACGCTCCAGGGTGGGTTGGCTCCAATTTATGGGGTTCGACGATTTTTAGGAAGAGGAGGTGTTCGGAACAATGTCAAGATACTTACGTCTTTTTTCATGGCATCCAGAATTAGGGTCTTCAGGTCGTTGAGGCAGTTGTTAATGCGGGCTCGCCGACGTTTTTCCATAATCGGTTTATTGCTCTGTAACAGAAAAGTAGAGGACAGGTTAGACACGATTCTCAGGCTACTCCGATGCCGGTGTTCGGTTCTAAAGGGACGACACGAAGTATTCTATTGTTTCTATAGCGGTCGTCGTCGAGACTAATCGAGTTTCATTCTCAACGACGGTACTCCAAAATTTTTATTTCGCGATAATTACTCGAATTTCTGATTCACCGAGTCCCTCGAGATATTAAATTCCCATTTAGACACCCCGTTCGTACGACTGTCAAGAATCTCGAGAATCGCGACAAGTGTGGAAGGGTTTGTTGAGAAAATCTGATGGTCTCGAGAAGACACTAACCCGTCGATTCTCTCCGGATCTTCTGGTGGTTGCCGTAGTGGTGGCGGTCTGCGCAGGGGGCTGACCACCCTCTTGGGGCACGTGTTGCGCCGGCGGCGTGGCACCGACGGTGACACCGCCAGTCGGCATCGTGGCACCCACTCCGGTCACCATGTTCTCGTATCACAGTAATTGAACAGCAACGACAAGAAACGACAAATCGTATAGCACAATTTGCCGTAGCACTGCACTGGTAATCCAAGTTTGCCGCGATAGCACTGATATGTGTCTCAGCCAGGGGCCACGACGTAATCCCAAAGTGGCTGGCCGTTCGTACAAAGGGGGTGGTTTTGTCACCGAGAACGCAGTAAGAGAACTGTGTCCCTTGCTCGTCTCGCTCGCTCGCTCGCTGTGTGAATTCACAGAACTCCAACCGTTCGTAACGGACGTCAGAGCACGACTGACCGAACGAACGACGAACGTCTTCTGTCGTCCCGTCGAAGCGTGCCACCCGATGGAATGCCCGGTGGAGGCGCTGCCACGTACGGAGTGGGGGAAAACGCCGACTAACCGCGTGGAGGGGATAGCGCGTGACGGTTTAACCTGGGCTTCCCTCCACCACCGAATTCCGACGGTCAGACGGCACCCGGTTGCCTTTAGGAGCCCCCCACTTCCACATTGGAACCCCCTCCTCGACGTCCGAACCGTCGACCGTGGCGGGTTGCCTCGCGCGGGCCCCCACCACGCGTCTCCGGGTTCTTGGATCGATCGATTTTTGTGCAATGTCACAGTCATTTTTTCGAAAAAAAAGAAGAAAAAAAGAAAAATCGTTTTCCGTCGTCGAGACTCGCCGTGACGGCGAATCGAATCAAAGACTTTGTTATCGAGGCTAACCGCGATTCGCGCAGATATTTTGAAAAAATTTTGAAAAATCATTTTTCGAAACGATCGAACGGAGGTGGCTGATCGCGCCAGAAACGGGTTCAAAGTCTCTCGGTCGCCGGACGACTCTCGATCGAGGAACAATGCCACGCAGTGTGTTCCGAGAGCGACGATTAGTCTCGTGACGCGTATCGCGCGTCGAAAGGTCATTAGAACCGGCTGGCCGGTTCCCGTCGCGATCGGAGTGGTAATGGTAATTTCTAGACGGGGACACACGTACGCCCGACTACGAACGTCATCGGGGCTTATATTACGTTCTTCGAAAATAGCCGAGTGCCACCGTGCGTCGAGTGCGGACTGACGCACGCGCGCACCACTGGCACGTGCCTCCTACTCCCTCCCCACGTCTTTCGAAATTACTCTTTCTACTTGTGCGACCGATTAAACGCACGCCGCGGCATTTATCTCTCGCATACGTGCACGTATGCGCGCTACGAAACGCGGATACGTATTTCTCGGATACCGGGACCGATCGGGCCGTAATTGATAGACGATCGAATGAGACTAGACACGCGGACAGCGGCTTATCGCGCACGGTGATTTATAATAAGCGGAATTCTGACTGCACGAGCGAACGTTACAGCGTAATTAGGAATTTTCGGAAACTTCCCTACGAAACAACGCGAAATAGAATTTCCCCGAGAAGGATGCCCGCGTTATCTGCGAGTATCTCAGGCTGAGAGCACAGACGTGTCAAAGCCTCGTGGAAAGATAATCAACGGTCCCGTGTGGATGGTTCCGGCACCGAGCGAAGCCAGCCAAGTATTCCAGCCGCTGAACTCCGCCGCCCTACAAAGGGTAGGAAACGAGCGTGTTGGTAGGGTCGCGGAGGGGCAGAGAAGCAAGCCCAGGAGTTCGTAGAAGCGCGGTAGGTGCGACGAGGATCGGCTCCGAAGAGAAGATCGCGCTCGTGTCGTCGCGAGCGATGTTGGGGGAGGGAAGGAAGGTCGTAGGATACGGATCGAACGAGGACGAGGGATGCACAGTTGCGCAGGGCAGAGGGAGAGAGCGCAGCATCGGGGGTGAGAGGAGTCGCGACCTCTGAGAACGACGACGACCGACTGAGGACGCGACCGAGACGGAAAATCGGCGGCCGCCAATCACGTGACCGAGAGTCGACACGGCGTACGACGAACGCCCGGCGATTGGCTGCGCGCCACCCCCACCCTCGGATCGGCTTGAGGACGAGCGTGCCGCGCGCGACGGTTGCGTGGGTGGTGGGGGCTGCGATCGTCATTCGACTTTGAGCGGTCGAGCGGCACGGCGGCGTCGCGGCGCGTGGGTCGCGGCCCTCCGGGGCCACTCGATCCCAAGGAATGCGTGGGGGAGAAAAAGTGCGCGCCGCGACGGGGAGGCGGTTACCTGTGGCCTCCCCGGGCGAATGCATTTCGAGTGCATCGGGGCTCGCGGAAAATTGGGTGCAAGCCTCGAGTGCATTCCCTCGATGGGGATCGAGGGTGCGCTCGGAGCGCGCCGATATTGAGAATTGTAATTGGAGTGCACTAGACGGCTCGCGGGAATTGAATTGTGTGTTTCGAGTGCACCGGGACGCTCCGCGGGAATCGCCGGAGTGCGTTCGAGGTGCATTCGATGGAACGTACGATGGGAAACTTGTGCTCGAGAGACCCTTCTAAGTAGTAATTGGGGATAGATTTTAGAGCACGAATTTAGGATGTATTTAGTTGGAGCTATTTTTACTTGAGTAAAGCTGTTCGTACTTTTCGTTCGAGTATGGCAATCTACATACTTGTGAGACAAAGTAGGCGTCTGAGAGCGCGGTGCCTGATCTATGGTAAATGTTACTACTTGTGGTATTTAATTGCCCTTGTACTAAGTCTTTCTCCTGGCTAAAAATTTCACGAGTATAAAGGATAACTTTGATATGGGAATTATGGCATATTTAACTGTATCCAGAGATATACAGAGTTAATTTAATTCTTTACTCGGGAGATCTATCATTAAAATGAAGAATATTAGGAAATTACACTATATTATTACTATATTATAATAGAATTGTGGAAATTTATTACACACGATTACTTGTGAGTATTCCAAGTCAAGTTAAAGTATAATATAAAAGCAGAAGTTGCGTTTGACTTGATTCCCAACGGAGAAAATGGCCTTAAGCAGCCAGTCAATCATCTGTCGACTGCAGTAGCCAAATTTAATTAATCGCCCTACGTAATTAGAACGGATAATCTTTCAGATTCGTGTCCAGTACACTATATTAGGACAATCAATTTTTCTAAACAATTATAAAAGAGAGAAAGTATCGCAAGATTATTAAATTGTTAATTCGAGTTCGCGTCGCTAGATACGTTTCCAAATAAATTTTTCGAATCATTTTCAATATGGAATTTATTTGTTACACGTCTAACAAAGTAATATTTCGGAGTCGTATTAAATTCGACGTTATAGGCGTCCAGAGTCAGTAAAGATTGGAGGCGTCGGGACGCACCGATAGAGTGCCTCCATCTGTCGGCGATCGCGGTAGGTTTTTCCCCTGAATCTCTGACATGGTTGCTCTTCGGAGTAGCGTCGAATCACAGAGTAATCTACTTCATTTTAATTTTTTTCACATTATCAATTCCAATTCGACTAATCCTAATCGAATATTCCCCCGAATTCGAAAGCAACGATCGCCACCAATATTTTTAACTGAAAAGAAACTTATTTAATATTATTCAAATTTTTAAAATTACATATATCTCTCGCGTGTTAGTTGAAACGAACGTATTTCGAGTCACCCATAAGTTACTCAGAAACGTCTAGACGGACTGCAGATAAGGATCGTATTTTGATATGACACACGACGAATAGTAATCTTTCGATAAATTTGCCACGTTATATGCGATTCGCGTACTCGACAAATTTCCAATAAAAATTTGATACAGTCTTCTGGCTTTTCTATATATGTTTCGTAAAAAAAAAATGTGGTCGATGCTGCAGAACGTTTCTTTTGTTAAACTTGTGTAACATACTTTTCAATTTTGCAGATATTACTTTATTTTTAGACGTTATAAATTACGTTCTCTGAGGTCAGTACGCATTCATATGCAACGCGTCAGTATCTATGCGACAACGATAGTCGATATTCGCTCGTGGAATAATTTTTCAGTCAAGGAACTCCCGCCACCTTTATCTCCTGGTTTAACCTTCGATAAAACTCGTGAACCATATACGAGTCGCACGTGCTTTGTTCTTACGTGTTCCGTTGCCTTTAAAACCAACCGCTAAGCCACACATCGCGCGTTTAATACAATCGAGTGCTCCGATAAAATAGATTACGCCGATACACAAAGGAGACACATCAATTCGTTGATACTCTGTTTTCAGGCAACGTTCACCTGCCATTTCTTTTCAATTATTTTGCTAAAAAAGAAACTTGTTCGGTGCACAGTCGAACAACAAGCACGATAACAACGACGATTTTCTCCTATAAAAATGTTTAAACATCGACGAATGGTATTTGCATGGCACATATCGCGGTTCGCTTATAATCCAGCGTACCAGAATTTGGACTTTCACATTCCTCTGAAACTATTTAGTCTTCCCACATAGTCGTCTCGTTTCACGCTCACGTGCAATCTCGTTGAAAGATCGTAAATAACTAATTAAATTAATATCTCCACAGTTTGTTTGACGTACAGTTGCTTTACCAAAATTTATCTTTCGGAACACACACGAACGAGGAGATGAACAACCCGTATATAGCGAGGAAGAATTCATTTAACGACCCAATAGTTAGCAGCTAAAGACGCATTGGTTCGTACAGTAATCTTTTTAAGAGAGTTCCATGAACATTATTAGATCGTCTTAGTATACCTGTCGCCCCCGAACAATCCATAGAGCCCCGCGAAACCCGCATGACTCATTAGCTTTATGGGGTGCCGGTGGATTACGTACGTCTCGGCTGGTGGTCGGATAAAAGCGTACACAGAGCGGCATCGGCTTTGCCCGCAGCAAACGGACATTAATATTCCTTCCCCTTGAGCCGAAATATCAGATTAGGGTGTCTGGCGTCCGCTCCCGCTCCCCGTTCTTTATTACACCCCGCAGGAAAAATAAAGGAACCGGACAACGAGCAACCGTACCCCGATACACCGACTTTCGACCTCGCGGATTAATCTGATTTTGCAAAAACCGCGTCTGTTCTCTGTAATCCCCTCTTTGAGTCCTCTGGGAACGTTATTTCGCTCTCGTTTGACAAACCGTGCGCAATACCAACGACCAACCGCCCCCACAAACGTTTTCTTTTCGTTTATTTACATAGCCACGTAACGGGGGAGACAAACTCGGAAATTTATCATAAAATGGCTTTGGAAGATGCATGCTTACTCTATAAAAGAGCACATGATAGATGTAGCATAAATAGAAATTCTTGAATTTAGTTTAAAAAATGTTGATACGTTGCTTTTGAATTATTCCTCGGCTAATATCGAAGGGAAAAATTGTAAGATAAACTACTTTAATCTACTGCTTAATAAATAATGAAATAGCATTTTAGCTTACATCAGATTTTC